GTATCATTCTTATCATTCCTAGTATCAAGGAGCTTTCATTCTAGTTGGGTAAAAAACCAAAATCCTACAGAGAGCTCTATTGGCCTAGTGGACAGAAAGTGATGCTCTCAAGCCAAAGTTGGGTGACTTTAATCTGTGGCCCTCAGGACTGATCAAACAGTCTTCTAGGTTGTATAGCACTGGTCTGGCCATTGGCTGTACAGAGGTAACCCGTGGTTGCTGTGATGCTAAACACTATGACACTGATGTGTCAAATGTGATAATGGTTACCCATGGTGCACAGTGTTTGGTGGAACTCCCCACTTAAAATAAGCTTGGAAGCAGGAGTGGCACCCACTTCCAAAACAGCTTGCCTCCAGAAACTCTATGAACTTGGAGAAACAAAGTTATACACGTGTTCAGGCCTTTCATTCATAGGGTCGCTATTAGTTGCCTACAACTCGATGGCACTTAACAACAACAAACAAAATATTTGTTAGGTAGTATAAGTTTTGGAGGAAGAAAAAGTTTTATATCTCAGTTCTCTGTTGCTACATAATAAGTCACCCCAAAACTTAGTAGCTTCAAAGAACCATTTATTCTGTGTCATGAGTCTTTGGATAAACTGGATTCTTCTTCTCAGTCTTCTATGGGGCTCATTCATAAAGCTTCTTAAGGCTCAGCTGTGCTGCTGGTTGGCTGGTTCTGCCTGTCCACATGGCTCTTATCATTTGATAATTTGGCCTGGGCTTCCTTTCCTGCTGATGAGAGTGTTCCAGGAAAGCCAAGGTAGAGGATGCAAAGCCCCCTGTGACTTAGGTTCTAAGTTTTATCATGCTACTTCTGCCTCATTCTACTGGTCAAAGCCAGTTACAAAGTCAGCCCTGTTCCAAAGGGTAGCTAGGTAGATACCACGTCTTAATAAGAAAAGCTGCAAAGGATGCATGCCACTTTTTATCTACCTCACATGGTAAAGGAATAATGAATGTAGAGGCCACCATTTTCAATAGAGTGGTAAATATATTTCTGAGGAGATGTTATTGGGACAGAGATCTCAATAAAGTGGGGGAATAGACCATACAGATATCTGAGGGTTCCAGGCAAATAGAATTTACAGCAAAGACTTTGATACTTTCATCATCAAATAATGCAATTCTTTACATATGAGAGATTGCTATAATATTAAGACTTCCAAATGAAGATAACTGTTCCTCTTTCCCTCAATTCCTATGGGAATCCTGATTTTCTTTGGGCAACAGTCAAAGTTCCTGAATAAATTGAGCTGAGATTAAAAGGGACACTGGGGTTTGAGACATTATGACATGAGGGTGAATCATGCATGCAATTTAAGTCCAGAAGGAACCCATCTATTTCATCTCGTTACCTCTATCCTCAACTGTCCCAAGCTGATATTCTACATGTCTTCTGTAGTCCATGAGAGAGCTTTGGTGGTGCAGTCTGTAGGAAACTGTGCTGCTCACCCAAAGGTAGGTTCGAATCCACCATCAGCTCCCCAAGAGGAAGATGGGCAATCTCCTCCCATGCAATTTACAAGCTCCAGAAAAACCGGCTGGAGGGTCAGCTCTGAGTTGGTTCCAACTTGACCTTAACGAGAGTCTAGTCCATAGTAGAAGTCCAGGAGCCTCAGAGCTGAGAACCTTCTCCCTGCTTCCAACTCTAGTGCCTCGTGTTTCAGTGAAAGGGCTCTGCACACATCTAACCCTCAGCCTAACCACATCCTTCCCCTCCTGCTGCTGAGGGGGCCTCTCTGTGGGCAAATCCAGGTCTGATGCATTTGGTGCAAAGGTGTCTGACTCACTGAAGAATGAGCAGAGCAAGGCAGAAGTGGGTTATGCTGTAATTACCCAAGATCACCAGGGGAGTCAGAGGGTAATCAGGTAATTAGTGCAAGGGGAGTGGGTTGAGGGAAGGAAGGACAATTATGCGGCTCACTGGCTGCCAGACGCTTGTCACTGTTCCGATGACCCTTGGGCTGGGTTCCTGGCTCTACCTGTGGACTATTAAGTGTAATAACCCTGTCATGTAGAGGAGCCTGTCATTATCTTCATGTTAGCATGGTATTTACCCACGAAACCTGCCAAGTCACTCTGTAATTAATGAGCTTCCACGTGGTCCCCCTGCCCTGACATTGGACAGTGTCAGCTCTGAATGTTATCCTCTCTGAAAGGGGAGGTAGCTTTAAGAGGCTGAGAAGCAGCACTGGGGTCATCCCAGTAGCTCCAGAGAACACTCTATCTGGGTCCTGATCCACTGTCAAAGCCTGGAACTATGCAACCCAGTAACAATATTCTGGAGGCACCAAGAGCTCTCCCCACTCCAACAAGAACATCCCACTTGGGGCCAATGTATGTACTACTGCCTGCAACATAAAGTCAACGTTATCGCTATTAGGTATCTTCAAGTCAAGTACGACTCATAGCAACCTATCCACAACAGGTCTGAACCCTGTCCTGACCTGTGCCACCCTCGTCATTTCTGAAGTATTCAAGCCCATTGCTTTAGTCACAATCTACCTGGTTGAGGGTCTCCCTCTCTTTCACCACCCCTCCACCTTTCCAAGCATGATGTCCATCTCCAAGGAATAGTCTCTCCAAGCAACATGCAAAGTATGTGAGACGGGGCTGTGTCATCTTTGCCTCTAAGAAGCATTCTGGCTGAATCTTCTCCAAAACATATCTGTTTGTTCTTTTGCCAGTCCAGAGGATATTCAGTACTCTTCTGCAACCGTTCAAAGACATCAATTATTCTTCTGTCATCTTTACTCCTTCTCCAGCTTTCAGATACATAGTAAGTAATTGGAAAGACCTGGCCTGAATTAGGCATACCTTAGTCTTCAAACTGGCATCATTGCTCCTCAGTAATTTGGAGAGATCCTTGACCGCAAACTCTCCCAAAGCATATGTCTCTTGATTTCCTGACTGCTGGTACCAAGTGTGCTGATTGCAGATCCAAGTAAGATGCGGTCATTGATGGTTTCAAACTTTTTTCCATCTATCAAGATGTTGCCTATCGGTCCTGTGGTGAGAAGTTTGTTTTCTTGATGTTGAGATATAATCTACATTGCAGGCTGAAGTCTTTGATCTTCTGCAGCAAGCCCTTTAAGTCCTCCGCACTTTGAGCTAGCTAGGTGTGTCATCTGCATAAGGCAGGTGCAGAGCCTCCCTCTAATCCTCATGCCACATTCTTCTTCATAGTGTAAGTTTAAATAGGTACAACTTCCTATAAGTGCTTTGACCATTTCTTTTCAAATTGAAAATTTGTATCCAGCTACTCTAAACCCAGGAACTTATCCAGCAGAAAAATCTGCACTAATTATGTGGAGATATTTACACAGAGATGTTCATCACAGCACTCGGGCAACAGGGATGAAAGATTGGTCCCTAAGATCACAGTTTCACTCCTTTGACCCCCCTGAAAGTCAACTTTAGAAATGGCAAAAGCTCTTCTTTCTCCTGACATCTCTTACAGAGGTGGCAGTGAGGGACTCCTACCACGTGGACATACAGCACCGTGCCATTTCCCATTTACTCTGCACTATCTCCCTCTAATCTCCTTTCTTTGGGGAAATTTTTCTGTTTTCCCACAAGCAGTTCTAAATATTCTCTAATCACAATCACCCCCTCTCCTCTTCTGTTTCTTTTTCCTTTTACCCCATCAGCACCAGAAAAGGCACAAACATGCCCCCTACGGGGATCAAAGGAGCAACACTGTGATCTCCTAGGGGTCAACCTTTCCTGCCTGTTGCCTGAGGGCTGGGGTGAACTTCTCTGTGAAAATATCTCCACACATTGATGCAGACTTTTCTGTAGGATAAGTTCCTGGGTTGGGAGTAGCTGGATATGAATCTTTCCTTTTGAAAGGTTGTCAAAGCACTTATAGGAAATTGGACTATTGACACACACTACTAGTTTTCTTATATGAGCTCTAGTGGTAAATGAAGGACCTCTACTGGCTTGTTCATCCTTCTCCCACAGAATAGCTGGTGGCCTTGAACTGTGTGCCTTTGGGATTGCAGTGCCGCTTCTTGCCACTAGGCCACCAGATTAATGGTAAAGAATTGCATTGCCAACCCAAAAGCACACGGTTCAAATCCACTAGTTGCTCCATAGGAAAAAGATGGGCAATCTCCTCCCATGTGATTTATGGCCTCTGAAAACCTACTAGAAGGTCAACTCTGAGTTGATTCTGAGTCAGTGGAACCTAACAATAACAATGACAAATGCTTACTGTGTTGCACTGCTAACTAGAAGTTTGCCAATTTGGCTCCACCAGTCTCTCTGTGGGAGAAAGATGGGCAGCCCCCTCCCATAACAATTTACAGCCTTGGAAACCAGATAGAGGGTCACTATGAGTCAAAACTGGCAGTGGGGTTTGAGTTTAATAGCCTAATAGTTCATCAGAATGCTGTTTCTCCACATCCTGGCCACTTTGGGTTGCTACCACTTTTAAAAGTTACCTGTGTTGTTTTATAATTCATTGTAAAAAAAAAAAGAGGAAAGGAAAATACAGAAAAGGGTATGAGATAATAAAGATTAGCTATCACCCCATCTTTAAAAGGAAATGAAACCTTGTCTGGCCCTTTTTATAGATGAGTAGAGACTGCAGACAGCCATAATAGACACCTGAAGAACCTTTTGGAATTGCTAACGCTGGGGCCAAAATGTTACAGATCCCCTCACACTCCCCTTCTTCCCGTGCCAGCTAAAGACTGGAGCTATTTTCCTCAGCTAGTGGGGACTATTCTGAGGAAATCAGTTCCAGGCACCCGTGCCCTTGAAGTGTCCCCTCAAGACAGCTCCGCTGTCTAGAAGGCTCCAGGCCCGAGGATTTGTGGAATGGAGTACAAACATTCAAAAAATGTGTTTCCAGACATTGGCAGCTGGATCCGACGAGTTGGAAAACCCATCTCTCCAGCCAACCCCGGAGCCAAGTTTCCGTTTCTTGGGGACCCTGACATGCCCTGTTAAGCCTCCCCTTAATGACTCTGCTTTCCATTCCAGAGACCTGAACTATAATGAGCTGCAGGAGTTTCCCGTAGCCATCCGGACCCTGGGCAGACTGCAGGAACTGTAAGCCCTTCTGTTGGTCTTTGTGGATCTCCTCTTCTCTCACGGGGCCTGGGCGAAGCCAGCCAGGGTCTCCCTCACACCCCTGCTTCTCATGGTCCTTTAAAGGCAATGTTCCCTCTAGGTCCTGTCCCACCACCAGCTTCAGGTCTAAGCAGTCACCGGCCTTATGTGGTGTGTCATCGCCACTAATGGCCCCAGGCCTCTCCAATCTGCAAAGTCTTTCTGTTTGAAAAGCTCCCTCTCCCAGACCCTACCACTGCCATCTCAATCCCATCTGTCCTTTAAGGCCAGTCTCAGTATACAATGACCTTTTTGGGCACTTTAAATTTGCACAATCATTTTAGCTAATACTACACAATTTAAGGTCAGAATTGCATACTGCTTTACCCTGTTCCCTGTTTTATGTATATTACTTTGTCTCCTCAACAAGCCTGAAGGATGCTTGGGGACAAACCCAGGCCCTTTATTCCTCATGTGTGTTTAGCAGCAAGCAATCTTGGGCATAGTGGGTGCTCTGCTTGGTGACTGCTTAAAGTAAAAGTCTGTAATAAATAGTATTTGTCGAACCCCTGCATTAATGTGCTTGATTGTGAGGTCAGTGGTTCAAGTCTACCCAGGGACACCTCAGAAGAAAACCCTGCCAATCTGCCTCCAAAACTGAGCCCTTGGAAATGCTGTGGAATGCAGATATATGTGTGACATCTATACACACGGGATCACCAGGAGGCAGAATTAGCTTGATAGCCACTGGTTTGCTGGTGGGGAACCAGCCATGGTGCTGAGAAATTACCCCATAAAGTAGCCCCTAGGTCCTTCCTTTATTCTTTCGGAACACATCCAACCAAAGTATGCCATTTATCTCTGGGGCAGCTCATTATAGTTTCTAACAATGTTATTGGAAATCTGTTGTTTGATTGTTGACTATAATGAGCGGGAGGGAGACCAGCTGCACTGGAGGAGAAACTCTGGGGCAACTGTGGGAGAGGTACGGTACAGCTAGAGTGGGACTAGATTAAGGTGGCCTGAAGGTCTGTGTACAGAGCCTAAAGTTTGGAGGTTCATAGCATCTTTATAGTGCCAACCCCATGCCACCTGCTTCTACCTTGACCCAAATTCTGAAGGTGCTAAACAAAGATTCTCACCACTGGACCAACTGGCAGCTTCATGATAGACAGAGAAGAGACTGAGATTGTTAACAATTTCAGCTTGCTTGGTTCCACAATCAACTCTTGGCACCAGCAGTCAGGAAATAGGTCTGTTCTGGAGAGGGTGAAACCAGGCTATTCCCTGGAAGCAAGGATTTTGAAGCTCCATCTCACATACTTTGGGCACATGTCCAGGAGGAACATGTCCTTAAAGAGGGACATCATGCTTGGAAGAGTGGAGGGACAGAATAGGAGAGGAAGACCCAGGGTGAGATGGATTGACTCGATGACTGGAGAAATAGGATTAGATCCATCTGAGGTGATGAGATTGGCTCAAGACAAGGCAGAGTTCAGAACTAATGTATATACGGTCTCCATGAGTCACAGGTAACTCAATGGCATGTGACAACAACAAGATTTAAGCATCACATAGGAAGAAGCAGGCCAGCTGGAGGGAAGAGCTTAAATGAGAAAATAAAGGAGTTCATTCATTGCCGATGAGAATTTGGCCAGGTGTAGAAGGAACAGAGTACACAAAGGCTTGGAGACAGGAAATAACCAAGAAATCAGAAAGCAAGAGCAGAGACCCAAGTTAGCATGAGCAAGAAGATAGATGATATAGATATAGAGATAGAGATATAATCTACATTCCAAAGTGTGTTGTTGTTTTTGTGTACTGTTGAGTAAGAACTGATTCAGAGATGACTCTATAATGTGTCTTCAGAGGCTATAAATCACACAGGAAAGAGATTGCCCATCTTTCTCCTGCAGAGCAGCTAATAGATTCGAACCAAGCCCCTTTGGGTGGGAAGCTGAACACCTTACCACTAAGCCACCAGAGCTCCCTCATATACGTGTATGGAATTCTGTCTCCCTCTCAGCACTGACTCTTGTGTGTTGTGTTTCAGGGGTTTCCATAACAATAACATCAAAGCTATCCCAGAAAAGGCCTTCATGGGGAACCCGCTGCTACAGACGATGTGAGTGCTAACTGCAGCCTGTGAGCAGTGGGCAGTGTTTAGGGGAGGAGGACAGGAGGGACCTTCCTAGAACGTGTCTGGAGTTCTGGGAGGGGTGCTGTCTCCTGGGTTCCTATTGAGAGAAGCATGAGGCTACCTGGTCCCACCTGGAAGAACTCGATGACTGCTAGGTATGTGGATCTTTTTCTTTCAGCCACTTTTACGATAACCCAATCCAGTCTGTGGGAAGATCAGCATTCCAGTACCTGCCTAAGCTGCACACGCTGTAAGTCGGCACTGATGGGGCTGCCTACACCCTCCCTTCCTTCCCCCCACCCCCAGCTCTCTCCTACTGGTGTGCTCATCTGCAGGCCAAAAACCCTACTGGGAGGCATGGTCCAGGGCTTGGGGGGGTGGGGGGTGGTGCCTCCTCGTAGCTCAGGCCTATTCACAGATCTGCCTGGACTTCATGGCCTCACTCTACCTCCCAGAGCTGAGGCTGCTTCCCAGGTGCGGGTGGAGGTGGCCCCTCTTCTTAGCCAAGGAGTTTTATTTGGCTTCTCAAGTATTATTCAGGGTTACTGTTCCCTGAACATCTTCTGGAAGAACAAAAGATTGAGCTAAGATGCTGACTGTTATGTGTTCCCTACATTGATCCTCCAGAGACTGTGGCTTCCAGCACCCTGGGCCCCTCTGTGTCGCCTTTATCACCTTCACCTTGAGGAGATTCCTTGGTTTCCCCTCTTCTATTCTGCCTTCCAGCTCAAGCCCCACCTCTTTAAACTTGCAGTGGATAACTAAAATGGAAGTGGCAGACTGCAGAATCATAGTAACACAGCAAACCTCTTCAAAGCACTTAGTTCACTCTCACATCTGTCATTACATTTTCTCTTCATTGTCACCCTGTGAGACAGGTTATTAGCCCATTTTACAGGTGGAACATGAGGCTCTCAGCTCACACGAAGACACGAGCCAGGGCTGTTTCACATTCTGGGCTTATTACTTCTGGGTCCCACGCTGCCTCCCCAGGGTTTCTAACAATGTTATTGGAAATCTGTTGTTTGATTGGTCTGGTATTGGGTTCGTGAGATTGTTAGGGTGGGAGAAGGGGAAGGGGACCCATCATTTCAAGATCGTTTAAAAGAGTGAATGGAGATGTTCTGATAAAGCCCCAGCACCTGATAGCTGAGGAGAGAGCCTGTCTCGAGTTCTACTAAGCAAATCTCTTGCAGCCAATGACATATCCAGAAGCACTTGGGTTACTGTCTTTTAAACAGAAATGATTCCCATGGTCCCTGGTGGTGTTTTTAATATGCCAGGACCTAAATGCCCGGTCATTCTGTCTGAACATGAGTGGGCGGAGCCAACATCAGAATATGATTGACAGGACCCGGCTAAGCAAGACTCAGCGATCCCAGGACCTGAGGTTTAAGAGGAACTGGGGAGAAGGACATTTCCACAACAGGTGGAGACCCTGAGGGAAGAACACCAAGGGTTGAGAGCAAAAATATAAAAGTGCTCTGACCCCCTTATCCCACCCCGAAGCTTATCACCATCTGTTTACAGATCCCTGAACGGTGCTACGGACATTCAGGAGTTCCCGGATCTCAAAGGCACCACCAGTCTTGAGATCCTGTAAGTAAATACACTCTACCCCCAAGGAATCTATCACCGCACTTTGCCCCCAAGGAGCTCTTCTGTCCTCTCGTCCCAAAGGCTGTCCTGTTTCCCTGCTAGTGCTATCTGGCCTGCCTCTGCTGCCGGCTCAGCCTGGCCCAGAGGTGACTCAGCCCCTGGCATCCACGGTCATCAGCCAGGGGGCAGCAGGTGGGATGGGAGCATGGAAGCTGGACCTCCACTCTTGACTGTGCTTGGATTTTTCCAGCATGACTTCAGAGTTTCCAACCCCAAACACGCCATGGGTGAGCTGAGAACCCATGACAGGAGAGGAGGGCTTTGAAAGTCCACCTCCTTTGCCCGCTGAGGCTCGGTCCCAACAAAGGCTTTCTCATATTGTCTACTATTATATCCTGTCAAATGGCATGAGGGGTGGGGAAAGGGTGGTGGGGCATAATAGGCACTCAGTACACTTTGAGCAAATGAATGAAATAAGCAGACAAGCACCCAGAGTGAGTAGCTGTCAGCTGTCCTGCCCCAAGTCACACAGCTTATTTATGGTGTAGCCAGGCCTGGGACGGAACTCTCCTCTGTGCCTCTATTGTCTTTCCCCTAGATTCGCTGGCATCTGGAAAATTTTCCATGAGGGAAGTAACAGTTTCCCAAGGATGACCTTGGCCTTGGATCTTTCCTGGGACACCCTGTCCCTAAGCCAAGCCCGCTCTGCATCCTGCCCCCACAGCCCCCTTTCCACCCCACCTCCTGGTCCTTCTCTTTTTTTCCCATATCTTCGCCCTCCCACGAGGCACAGGGAGCAAACTCTGTGCTTGGTTCCCATGGCTCAGCACTAGGCCTTTTCTCTGCCCCCTGCCCATGGCCATCTCTCCTCCCAAAGGTCCCCAGAGCAGAGGTTTCTCATCCCTGCCCTCCAGATCCAATGCCGCTGGGGACCTGCATCACTGTGGGGGCACGTGTCTATTGTCTATCTCCATCCTTACCCCAGATTCCCCCCGTCCTAGGGGATCCCAGATGCCAGGGCCTGCTCCTTTCTCTGCCCAGTCTCACACCCTGCCCTGTGTCTCTCACCACTTCTCTCTTTGTCAGTTCTGTCCTCCCACATCAGTATCAGGCCCAGAGCTGGAGAAGGGTGACTGTGGACGGTGGGGCCCTGGGCCTGGTGCCAGCTCTGTCTCTGTTCTCCCTACAGGACCCTGACCCGTGCAGGCATTCGGCTGTTCCCCCCAGGGATGTGCCAGCAACTGCCCAGGCTTCGAGTCCTGTGAGTGGCCCCCAAGCATTCTCCACTCCTGGCATTGTGCCTCCCTTCCATTCCCCATGGCCCCACAAAGACCTCTCCTGCTTCTGCTGAGAGTTTGCCCGAGAGGCACAGACCAGTCTCCTTTTGTACAGGGGGGTAAAAAAAACCAGTGGTCTTTTTTTCTGTCACTTCCTGTCTATATATTTGTGGAGGTCTACAACAATGGGCTGGGTCTATGGAGGAGCTTGTGAGGATGGGCAGGGGCAGGGCAAGGTTCTATCTGTTATTCACAGGGTCGTGAGGTGTAGTTAACTCAATGTCACATGACAACAGTAGCATTGTGATCATTATAAATAATCTGTGCAAAGCTCCAAGTGCTTGATCAGTGCTAGCACAGGGTAGATGCTTGGTAATGACTTTGTCACTGAGCTTGTACAAAACAGTTAATGCCTTCTAGGACCGTGGAGATACACAAGTAGTCTGTGGATCAAGAAGAACTTTCTTTTCTACCTTGACTCCAATTTGAATCTGAAACCTCTCATCAGGGACTGCCACCCTACAGCCTAAAATAGTTAGACCATATAACACGTGTAAAGAGCACCAGATTGGGTGTCTCAGACCCAGGCCATGGACCAGCCTTGCACCTGACAGTCTGTGGGTTTCTGGCCATTCCTGTCCCTTTTCTGGGCCTAAGGTTCCTCCTCAGGTAAACGAAAGGATAGATGATCTCTCAACTCATTGCCATGGAATGGGAGCTGACTCATAACTGACCCTCTAACCAGTTTGTAAAAGCTGTAGATCCCACGAGAGGGGATTATCCATCTTTCTCCCAGGGAACTGGTGGTGGAGCGGAACAAATAAAGAGGCACCACTCTTGAGTGAGCAATGAGGGCTCCCAATTCTGATCTTCACCGCCAACTCTATGACCATGTTAGAAGTGTCCACGCTGGCTGGCACTCATCAGCTTGCTCAGCAATGCTGGCCGTTCACTGTGACTGTCCTGTAGTGCCCCTGTAGCCCACTCACTCTTTCCTCATCTCCTTACCTATTTCCCCTCCTTCCCTTCCCTTCAGAAACATTCTAGCTCCCTTGGGTCTTCATAGGAGTTATGCAGTCCGACTGGAAACATGCCAGGCTGGGCTCCATCCAGGCCCTGCAGTGAGAAGTGGGGTTTGGTGGGGGATGAGGAGAAGTCTGGCATGTTGTCAGGAAGATCAAGTCCTTGCAAGAAGATCTCATGCCAGGAATGGTGGAGGGTCAGAGAAAGAGAGGAAGACCCTTAACGAGGTGGACTGACAGAGTGACTATAACAATGGGCTCAAGCATGGTGGAGATTGTGAGGATGTACAGGATAGGGCAAGGGTCAGGTCTATTGTTTATAGGGTCGCAATGAGTCATAGTCTACATGACGATACAATTACACAATAACAACTGAAGGAATGGAGTGCTCTGGTATGGAGTGTGCTACCACCCACCTCCCTGCAGGACCCGTAAGACCCTTAGCTGCTTGAGAGGAAAGATGTTATCACAGGTACGGGAGAAGCCAGAGCTGTTTCCTGCATCCCATTCTTATCCCTTCAACAGTCACAGCCTCACTGCAGCCCTGGCCTTTCTCTCTCTCCAGGGAGCTGTCTCATAATCAGATTGAGGAGCTGCCCAGCCTGCATCGGTGTCAGAAACTGGAGGAAATGTGAGTCTGGGGCTGAGAAGAAGCAAAAATCTGCAAGCCAGACTCTGGGCAGGTTTGAGGGGAGGTCAGGAAGGATCAAAGCAAGCACTCTCCGACTATCCTTGTCACAGTGGATGACCGGGTCAGGAGCTGGTGCCCAAAGGGAGTCTCAAGGTGGCTCCTTGGGTGTCACCAGCGACACAGAAATGCAGCCATTGTCAGGGCCTGCTTACAGGTGGGCCGCACGAGGGAAGGCCCTGAAGAGGCCAGACGGGCCCTGCACTTTGAAGCATGTGCTTTTTCTTTTTTGGCCTTTTTAAAAAAATAATTTTAATGAACATTTACAGAGATTTTGGATTTCCATTCATTCTTTGCTGCACTTCTCTCCCCGCCCAGCCCTCCCCCCACCCCAGTTCGTTCCTCACTTTGAAAAGTAAAAGAATGGGGAGCTCTGGTGGCCTAGTGGCAAGAAACTGCACTGCAATCCCAGAGGAACACAGTTCGAATCCACCAGACGCTCTGCCGGAGAAGGAGGCGCAATATCCTCCTGCACCAGTCAGATCTGATTTGATGGTACACGTACACAAAATTAAAAAAAAAAAGAAAAGTAAAAGAAAAACTCCCTCCCTGGAACACAATCCCCCTGCACTCCCCTACCACCCCAAGTACATTCCACTATGCAACCTTAATTGTGGACTCTTGTGATAACCATAATATGCTGTCATACATCACTTTTAAATTATTCTCTCCCTCATCTGTTTCAGTGCAGTATACACAATTTATCCAGTTTTTCTCAGTCTTACCCCAACCCTGATATCAGTCCCATTTTACAGCAGTGGCACCATGCAGTATTTGTCCTTTTACAACTGAGATATTTCACTCAGCATAATGTCCTCCAGGCTCACCCACTTTGAATAATATTGCATGAGTTCCGTTTTTTCAATGCAGCGTAGTATTCCATTGTGTGAATATACCACAGCTTCTCTATCCGGGTTGTTTCCAACTCCTTGCTATTGTGAGTGAGCGAAGCCGCGATAAACATGGGTGTGCATATTATCTGCTTGGATGTCATTTATGGTTTCTTTGGGATATATTCCCAGTAGTGGAATTGCTAGGTCAAATGGTATCTCTATTTGCAACTTTTTGAGAAAGTGCCATACTGCCTTCCACAGTGGCTGCACCATTTCAAACTCCCACCAACAGTGAATAAGGGTTCCAGTCTCTCCACAACCTCGCCAGCATTTGTTGCTTGCTATTCTGTAAAATTTTGCTATTCTGACTGGGGTGAGATGATACTCATAGTTGTTCTGAGAAGCATGTGCTCTTATTTTCCACACAAGCACACTCAGACACGAAGGAATAAGCCTGGGATCTTCATTTCATAAGAGGGAAAAAACAAAACAAAACACCTGTAAGTTTGTTTCACCTCCTGAGCCTTCATTCTCAGCTCCTAAGCAGGGTAATGTCTTTTGAGGCAAAGACAAGGTAGAGGTATGAAGTTCTGCCTTATTTAACTAGATACCAAAGGCAGCAGGATCTTCCACAGATCTGAGGTCCACAGCCCACGTCCCATTCAGACAACCTGCCCACCGAGCTCTGCTTCAGGTCATGGCAGTGCTGGGCTGCTGCTGGACTAGGGTCTGGAGGACCCACGGGGGTGGGGGTGCTGGGCTAAGAGCCAGACCCGGTGGGAATGCTGGAAGCTGACTCCCTTCTGGGCCACAGGGATGGTTTTGTGGCTTTGTCTCCTGACCCACTTACCCAAGGCAACCGGATCCCCGTGCACTCCCTTTAATTCTGGTGACTTCCGTGGTCTGGGCCCTTTCTTCCTGTGCCAGGAGAAGTAGGGGGCTCTCCCTTCCTACTCCCCATGCACAGAGGGTGTGGAGTGGAGTCTGCACACTCATCTCGGCTTTTCTTGTTGCTCTAGTGGTCTCCAACACAACCGCATCTGGGAAATTCGAGCTGACACCTTCAGCCAGCTGAGCTCCCTGCGAACCCTGTGAGTACCTGCTGCCTGTCCCAGGCCCGCATGCCCCAGTCCTCACCACGCATGCGTGAAGTGTACTGCGCTCCCTGCTCCCAGCGCTTCCCGCACACACGCAGGAGAGGTGTCTCTCCATGCAGTGACTCCTGTACACATACATGATATGCACGTCTCTCCCTGCTCCTCACCCATTGAGCACACACACAGGAGAGGTGCCTCTCCATACAGATAGCTCCTGTGCACAGGCGTGAGGTGCACATGCTTCCTGATCCTTACCCACCCAGCACACACACAGGACAGATGCCTCTCCGTGTAGATAGCTTTTGTACAGAAGTGTCAGGTGGAGAGTGCTGCCTGGTCCTCACCTATCAGACTACACAGGAAGCCTTTCCGTGCAGATAGCTCTTCGACACTTGCATCTAGTGCTGGGTGCTCCCTGATCCTCACCTATCAGACAACACACTGGAGAGAAGCCTCCCTCTGCAGATAGCTCTTCTGCGCATGCGTCTAGTGCTGAGTGCACCCTGATCCTCACCTGGGAGAAAACAGGAGGGAATCCTGTAATGCCGATAGCTCTTATACGCATGCGTGTGGTGCATAGCGCTCCCTGATCCCCATCTATCAAACAGCAGGAGGGATGCCTCTGCACGCGTTGGAACCAAGTTCCCCTGTTCTGGTGCCACAGCCAGGTTTGGGGCCAGACCGCAGGTGGTGTTGCTGTGGTTGGGCATCACAAAGTCGATCCCTACTCCTCATGAACCTGTAGGACAGAGTAAAACTGCTCCCTAGGGCTCCCTGAGCTATAACCTCACAGGAGCAGATCAACGGGGCTTTTCTCCCTCAGACTATCCATGGGTTCAAACTACCGACCTTTCAGTTAGAAGCCAAGCTCTTAATGATTGCACCACCACAGGTGAGGCCCTTGCCAGTGGGCCATGTCAGAGGGGAGAGGAGCACAAGGGAGAAGGCAGGATAACAGTCAGGAGTCTCTCTTTTACATGTCTGTCCCCATATGCACCCACAGGGACCTGAGCTGGAACGCCATCTGGTCCATCCACCCTGAGGCCTTCGCCACTCTGCGCTCCCTAGTCAAGCTGTAAGTGCCCACTGCACTTTCTCTGGGATGCTGGGAGCCTGCCAGGGACTTTGGGCAGGACAGTAGGGTAGGAGGGCCCAACTAGAGCAGGCATGTAGGAGTCCTGTGCCACAGGGGAGATGGTCTCCAGCCTCATCAATCATCCTGACAGTCTGTTTGACAGACTGTGGGGCCCAATAAACAGCCAGCAGGCCCCTGCACATCATCTGTTAATGGTCTGCAACAGTTGGCAGAGTCTACCCGCTCTGTGCCCCTGTCCCTGCCGCTCCTTCAGCCTCTGCTTGTACTGACCGGAAGGGTGTATGGCTGGGACACCCTTCATAACACGTAGGTTCAAGGGCTTTGAGAGTGGGTTTTTTTTTACTCAGAGGGCTTGTCTTTACTTGGGAGCTGCTGTTTGGTAGGGCAGAGGAGAAAAAGGCCTCTAAATTACATAGGGTATTATATAAGGAACGTATAGTATGGGCTACATGATCATTATGTCAGAGCTGCAAGGGACCCCAGACAGGGCCACCCCTCACTGCGGTGCAGGACATTCAGTGTACAGGGCTCCACCCAGGGACAAGTTGACATGCTCGGGACAAGCTGCACATACTCAGGGCCTGTGTGTCCAGAGCAGGCTTTCTTCTAACGAACACAAAAACCTCTTTGTGAGCTACCTTCTGCCCTGACCTCAGAGACCATGCAGCCCCGCCCTCAACTGCACAGGTGTGGTGTCCATGGCCCCAGGAGAAGCTTGTCCACAGTCGGCAGTTAGGAACCAGCCTCCCTGGGTTCCCTGGGCCTCCTCAGGCTGCAGCTCTCTGAGCTATAGCCTTGTAAAACCCTCACCTCCATCTTTCTGCTCCTGTTTGCTGTCCCTCTGCCAGATAGGTAGGGTAGATATTTTTATCCCTTTCAAGGATGAGGACATTGAAAGTCGGGCAGATTTGTGACTCCCCTTGATTACACAGTGAGTGGGTGACAGCGCCAGGTTTCCTGCCTTCCAGGCCAGCGCTATTTCCACGACGCACCGTCTGTGGTCACTGTGTTTGGTTTGGAGCCCTGGCTTCCTCTAATGTGTCTCCGGTAGAGCACGGTGCATGTCCTCACCACTGCCTACAAAGCAGGCTCTGTAAAACAGAAGGGGTGACCGAATCCTGCCTGCAGCCAGGTGCCCAGCTCTGTCCAATGCCAACTCTGGCTTCTTGTATCATCAGAAAAGGAGAGGGGAGGTAGGAGAACGGGAACAAGCAACTACGGGCACCTAGTGAGGCAGAGGATCTGGATAGGACTCAGACATGGACACAGGAAAGTGCTTGGGAGGCTCCATTACCTAAGAATTGAGATGATTAGCTTAGTGAGAAGAAGCTGTGCTGCAATCCTGAAGGCACATGGTTCGAATCCACCAACTGCTCCACTGGACAAAGATGGGCAATCTCCTTCAGTGTGATTACCTGCCTCTGAAAACTCTCTGGAGGGTAGGCTATGGGTTGGTTCTGACCCAATAGTACACAACAGCAACAATTCTTATACTTAGGGAGCTCTGGCAGCCTAGAGGTAGGGAGTTGCACTGCCAACCCAAAGGCATGCAGTTCAAATCCACCAGATGCTTAGTGGGAGGAAGATGAGCAATGTCTCCTATGAGATTTACAGCCTCTGAAAATTCACTAGAGGATCAGCTATGCAGTGCTTCCAACTCAACAGCCCATTATAACATTCTTATGCCTAAAAATAAGTTGGAACACTCTCTGAAATATAGTTGGTATGTGTTATTTGTTGAATGTCTGGATGGTACCTTTAGCAACTCTCAACCGCCCTCCTCCCCAGCATTTCATGCTCTTCTCTACATGTTCATCTTCCGCCCTCCGCACCTCTCCTCTTGTCTCCATCCCAGGCCACACCCTCAGCACAGCCTTGCCCCCTCAGCAACCCCACTGACTGCCAATAACCCTGACCATCCACTGTCCTAGGGACCTGACAGACAACCAGCTGACCACTCTCCCCCTGGCCGGACTTGGGGGCCTGGTGCATCTGAAGCTCAAAGGGAACCTGGCTCTATCGCAAGCCTTCTCCAAGGACAGTTTCCCTAAACTGAGGTGAGGGCCTGCCTTCTCCTGCCCCACCACCACTAGGTTTGCCCCAGGGCAGCTAGAGAGGGAGGCACTGTGGAGGGTTCATCCTGAGGAAGGCCTGGAGGCCTATTTTTTAGTTTGACCAAGACTGAATGGGATGGGCTTGCCTAGCCTCCTACAGTCCAATTCGTGTCTGGTAAATGTCTTCTCTTCCTCATTACCTTTGGAAGACCAGGCCCAGGGCCTGCTGAGACCTTCAAGTCCTATGTGCACAGATTTGGAGGCACCTGGACCCTTTGCTCCTTGTCCAGTCACTTGGGCAGCATCAGGGCAGAGCCTTGGCACTGATGAGTTTAGCCAGTCCCTGGTGCTAATGACATCCAGGCCTCCTACCTGCAGCACCGGCACAGCCTGTATAGCTCACGCTGCTGCAGACAAATGAGAAGCCCGGGGCCATCTGTCCTCGCCCTCAGAGGGCACCCAACCCAGCTCCAAAGTGCCCGAGGAGGGGAGCAGGGGATGAGTTTCACTCAGGACCAGGGTTAAGAGTCACAAAAAAAAACCCTGTCTCCTTAAATGAAGGAGAGAGAGCTTCTGAGTGGGGCCCCAGAGTGCTGTGTGACCTTGGACAAGCTGCTTCCCACTCTGAGCCTGTTGAGAAGACTCCTTGGGTAGAAAGTCTAACTCCCCCGTATCAGCTCTCAAGATAAATAAAGAAATTACTAGAATCTGCCCAGAGCCCTTCATCAGTAAGAACCAGGCTGTGTGATCGGTACAAAGAAGGCCTGGTGGGTGCTGCCAGCACAACCATCAGTGCACTTCAGGGCTGGAGGCAGGTACTGAGCCCTCTGCACAGACTGAGGTCTTAGATCGCAAATATCCCCTAGTTCGTTCATCTGCTTTCCTTCCCCAGGGTCCTGGAGGTGCCCTACGCCTACCAGTGCTGTGCCTACGGGGTCTGTTCCAACTTCTTCAAGGCATCCGGGCAGTGGGAGGCTGAGGACTTCCACCTTGAGGAGGAGGAGCCTCCGAAGAGGCCCCTGGGGCTTCTTGCTGGACAAGCAGAGAACCACTGTGAGTGCTGGGCAGGGAAGTTAGGGAGGAGGCTGGGGGACCAGCTATTGAGGGAAGTCGTAGGGAGGGAGTGTTCTGTGGCCTGTTCACACCTGGGTCCCTTTAAAGGGGAGAAATAGCCAGAATATCTCTCCTCCCAGATGTGCTTGGGGAAAAATAATGATGCTGAATCTTGGCTACTTAGAACTGCTAAAACAGAAAAACCAGAAGTGGGTCACTTTTCAAGAACAGAAATTTACATCCTAATTCTTTTTACTTCTGGAGGCTAAATGTCCAAATCAGGGCCTTGGCTGTGTCGATCCTTCTCCTGTCCATAGGCCCTGAATGGGCTTTGGTTCTCTGGCTTTCCTTGGCTTGCAGCCAGTGCTCACATGAGATCCTCCCCTGTGTGTGTCAGCTCTGCTCGTCTTATGAGGCAGGAATGATTAGGATCCGCCTTACTCTAGCATGTTATTGTTATATGCTGTCAAGTTGACTATGACTCATAGCGACCCTATGCACAATAGCTCTGAACCCTGCCCTATCCTGAGCCAATCTCACCATTTCTGACACGCTTATCCTCATTACCCTAGCCAGTGAGTCAATCCATCTCATCTAGGGTCTTCCCCTCCTGCAATGTCCCTGTGCCCTCCCAAGCATGATTTCCTTCTCCAAGGACTGGTCCCTCCTGGCTACATGTCCAAAGTATGTGAGATGGAGCTTCAAAATCCTTGCCTCCAAGGAGCAGCCTGGTTTCACCCTTTCCTGGATCAAGCTGTTTGTTCTCCCAGCAGCCCATAGTATATTCAGTACTTTTCTCCAGCACCACAGCTCAAAGGCATCAATTCTCCTTCCATCATCTCTAGTTATTCTTCAGCTTTCTGATGTAAGCTAAAATTGTTGACAACCTCAATCTCTTCTCCATCTATCATGGTGTTGCCAATTGGCCCAGTGGTGTGAGTGTGTTTTCTCAATGTTGAACTTCAATCACTATTGCAGGCTACAGTCTATGACCTTCTGCAGCAAATGCTTCAAGTGCTCTTCAGTTTGAGCAGATAGGGTTATGCCATCTTCATAAAGCAAGTTGTTGATGAGTCTTCCTCCGAATCTGATGTCATATTCCTCCTCATAAAGTCCAGCCTCTTGAATGATCTGTTCCACATCTAGCTTGAAAAGGTATGAAAGGCCTTTTCTCTTTATTTTCTTTCAAGGAGATTTATCTCCTTTAAATCTATCATTACTATTTACCCTCAA